TGAAAATTATAAAATAAACAAGGCCCATAGAAGTTGCCATACTATATCTGGGCAGTGTCTCATTTAATCCAGCACCGTGCCTCCAATGGACAAGAACAGAAGTTAAATACAGCATGGCAATGTATTTAACCCTACCAAAGACAGCTGAGAACTCATGAAAAATAGTAACCTTAAACCCTGCTGTCTCCAGTTCAGGAAAGAAGGATAATTATGTACATTGGGGTAACTGACCAGTCTGATAGTTTCTGGTGCAGCCCTGTTGGTTTTGGCCCAAACTCAAAGAGTCTGCATGTTTATGTATGCATTTCAGGAAAATAAATGTCATGGCTAACTACTTATAAGAGTGCTTAAGGAGAATGAAGAATCAGTATCCATAAAGATAATTCCCTTAATGAAGGTATTTGTGTGAAACAATTAACTTTTCCCATGTATCTCACATGTTCTTATGCCACTGTGCTGCTGTTGAAATTGTACAGCTCAGTCCCATCTCAGTAGCTAAAAGACTCCTGCTGTTGTCCATGCTTGTGGGTTTTGGTGACATAATGAATTTAAAGGCAGACTGGAAATCTCTTTTGGCCCTCGCCCAGTGGTGTTGCTTCTGTCCTGAAGGAAACAAAAACCAGAACCCTGGCTTCTAGAAGGAATCAAAATAGCAAAGTTCATCTGTTTGTTCAGAAAGCTGTTCCTATTCTAGTAATAAAGCAGACCTAACTGATTTTCAGGCAGGCAGGACATCCCAGAAATTTCATTACTTTGCTGAACTGGCTGCTCTTATTAATGTTCACCAGACATAGGAAGGGTGGGGTGGAAAAAGGGATAGTTGGCTGGAAAATATCTACTAGACAAACAAAATAAAATTTTTACTTAATATATAAAAAAATGCCAACTGTGCAGAAACTCTATGTTCAGTTTCCTAAGGCTTGTAACATACTTGCTCTGCCACCTGCTGCCCTGGCATTCCCAAGGTTTTAGGAACAGGGACTGTGTCCGTGAGTTTTCCCAGAAACAAATACTGCATGACTAAGAACAAGCACCTAGCAGCCCAGTGGGCTGTCCAGGAGATACCATAGCTCCAGAAAACTGCTTGCTCAAATCTTCCTGAACAATCACATTATCACTCTGTGTTTTTAAGGATACCATCCTTGGCCCAGTGCTTCTCAAGAGGTGCTTTTTCTCTTGATGGGTGGGATTCTGCAGCAAGGATTGGCACGCTGGCTCTACTACCTTGGAAGTCAGATATAATATGGGAAAGTGTCTCAGACTGTCATCACTGCTCCAGCTCCTCCAGGGAAAGAAAGAGAGAAAGTAGATCCAGAAAGAGAATATTCTGGAGATCAAGTGACTGACTAAAGAATGAATTCCACCTTTTGAAAAAACAAATTGTATCCACTGTGGAAGGAAAAGGGAGGTGTATGCCTGGTGGAAGTAAGGTCAGGTGACATGGGAAGAATATAGAAATGCTGTTAGCCATGGTAGGGGGAAATTGGTGTGGTCAAAGCTCAACTGGAGATAAAGCAGGCCAGATAAAGCAGGCCAGAACTGTGGGGGACAATAAAAAGAGTTTTTTTCAAATACGTTAATGGCAAAAGGCAGTGCAGAAATAACAGCATCCCATTACAGGATGAGGACTGTCAACCTCATAAACAAGGATGTGGACAAGGCAGAGGTGTTTAAATGCATTCTTTGCCTCCATCTTCAACACAGATGATAGGCCACAGGGGCCTCTAGCCCTGAGCTAGAGGACCATGCCTGTGAGAATGTTCAATTCCCAGCTGACCCTGAAATTGTGTGGGATCTGCTGCTTCAGCTGGATCCCTACAAATCTATGGGCCTGATGGGACTCATCTGAGGAACTAGCTGATGTCATCACAAAGCCTCTCTCAATGACTTTCAGCAGTCTTGGGAATCCTGAGAGGACCTGACAGGAAGCTGGCAAACATTATCCTGATTTTCAAGAAGGCCAAGAAGGAGGACCTCAGAAACTACAGGCCTGTCAGTCTCAATTCAGTGCCTGGTAAAATAATGGAAAAGATTATTGTGGGAAGTACTGAAAAACACCTGGAAAACAACAGGGACATTGATCACAGCCAACATGGTTCCATAAGGGGAAAGTCCTGCTTGTGGAGCCTGATTTCCTTCTACAACAGGGTAACCTACCTAAATGACCTAGGAAAGCCAGCAGATGTAATCTTCTTGGACTTCAGCAACGCTTTTGGTGTCCTTTTGGACAAATAGGGCACAGAGATAAACACATCATGTGCTGGTGAGCAGCTGGCTCGCAGGTCAGGCACAAAGGGTTGTAGTGAATGGGGTGACATCAGACTGGGGACCTGTCACTAGTGGGGTTCTGCAGGGCTCCATCCTCAGCCCTGTGCTCTTCAACATCTTCATTAATGACTTGGGCACAGGATTCAAAGGGATACTAAGTAAGTCTGCCAATGGCACTGAATTGTGAGGAGCTGTTGACTCCCTAGAAGACATGGAGGCCTTGCAGGGAGACCTCAATAAATTCAAGAGATGGGCAATCACCAACCATATGAAGTTGCTGTGATTTCATGGAAACACAGCTTATTCCTTATACAGTATTGATTCTGCAAGGTTACAAATGTGGAAAAACAGGAAAAACTTAGTTTTGAAACTACTCTTCCCCCAAAATTCTGGACCAACTTTGTGCTTTCAGTAATTTCCTGGGGCAAAATTTCACTTTAGAACCAAGACTGTAGACAATCCCAGCTTTTTGGTTGTTTTTTTTTAAAAAAAATTGGTTTTGCTTTTTGTTTTGTTTTCTTTTTTGAAAATACATTATGAGAATTTATAAATGTGATTACTGACTTTGTAATTTTTGAATCTTCATGTTAAGCTTCTTTAAAAAGCACTGGCTTTCAAAGCACTGATATCTAATACCTCCTGGCAGAACCACTTTATGATGACTGAAATGGCATCTCAAGAACTGAGGCACCTTTATTCACAGCTCATTTCTGAAAGCAGGTATAAAGCAATTATAAAGGAGCATAGGTGTGTAAAATGATGGTAATTTGATCAATACAGTGCTGCCTGCGACAGGTAGGGTAACTCTAGATGCCTTCCTCTAACTGGAAACTGCATGTCTAGCTGAAAGACTTCTGAGTTCAAGAAAGAGAATTTATCTGAAAAAAGGACACACGTATCAGCAACAGGAAAATACCTACAAGACATCATGGATATATCCCATTTCAGTCATGGACTTCACAGGCGCATCATTATTTATATCACACTTCTGTTTCAAATTACTTTGGTTTTAATAATATATGCTAACATTTACTTTAAGGGTGTTTTCCTTTGCCGTAGCTTTAGTTCCTTTGCTTAATTGAAACAGAATGAACCCATAGCTTCACTTGTAAGCAAGGTGGTGCACTGATAAATCCAGTCAGTAAGAGAGGAAAACTCTGCTAAGCAGACCATAATTTTAAAGGCTTGAACACAACTTTTCATACACTTGCGATCTATTACTTCTCAAACAAAATCAGGAAAAACTACATGTAATATCTGAATGTTCTTTAGGAAAACTGCTCCCTTTTTCCACCACCAGAGGAATGTTCTTAATCCATTTTAGCTGCCTTTGTGCATCATGAACTAGCACAGAGCCCAGTTTCTGCCCTTTACCCTCTGCCAACTGCACCTCTCATGTAACTCTGAAGTGATCCAGGAAATTTATGAACAGCTTTGTATTTTGCAGAACTTAGTATTTTTGTAGAAAAGGAGAACTCATTACAGACCAAAATAAGAAGCAGTACATAAGAACATTTCTACCACCAGCAGCAGTAAGAGCATATTTCTATGCATAGCCTTTAGAAGTGAGTACAGAAGATGCCTTTTCTGCCTGCATCTGACACACTTAAACTTCTGCCCCAAAGTCCAGAGGGCTACAGCTGCTTCAAGGTGCCCACTACTTGAAGAAACAGGAGTGCTATCATTATAATTTTACTTCTAATATATAATTTTCTAATAAAACCAGATGGCTTCCTCTCCTCTGGCTCTAAAGACTGCAATCTAAAAGCAAGAAACTTTGTGTTGTGACAGTAAACCCAGGAGCACCAATTTGAATGCACATGGGTAGTAATGGTATAGGAGAAAGATGGTACAAATATCATGCAGCAATTCTTCTGACAGCTCTCTACTTTAACTGGCAGAAAATCAATAACATTAAGACTGAGGGTCACAGCCTTTGGAAAGAGTTACATCAATGCCAAAACAGAACAGACAAAGCCAAAAGAGATTATAACCACAGATATCCCAAGGGACAGATGAAATCATGCATTATGATGTTTTTAAAAACAAAAAAATGTCGTTCCCTCAATCATACCCCAAATGTCTTTTCTCCCAGTTTTTCATAGGTTTTTAAATTAAGAGGTGAAGATTGCAGTAAAAGATGCTACTATGTTTCACTTAAAAGCATAAAATCCCTCAGTGAAAAGGGTAACTATTCTCCTACCTGCAGGCATACTTCTGGGAAATTGGTACCATAGTTACTGCTCAATGTTAAGCTTGCTGGTGCAGGCAGCAAGCTTCTACTCCCAAACAGCAGTCAGAAAACAGAGTGCTCCCTGTCCTAACAGGCACAGCTGAAACTGGGCACAAAGAGTGGACAGAATGACAGCAAAACAACCACGGCAATGAAAAGACTAGGTTTCTTCTCCTGTCCTAAAATTCCTTTGCAGGAAAGAACTTTACCTTTAATCTCCACAAAGTAGAATGCACTAAAGGCTCAAGAAACTTGTATGTCTGTACAAGGTGTGACTCATAAAGGCCCATCCTAACACACAGAGACACTCCAGTGATGGTCATCTCTCAAAACCAGAGGACACTGATGGACCTGCACCCCAAATAAGCGATTGGGCTCTCGAGTGCCACGTTCTCAACACATGTAGCTTAACCAGAGAGGCTGAAGGACACAGCCCATCTGTCCAAGCACTGCTGGTGTAGCTTTATTTAAATTCTTTTTTTTGTTGTCAAGTTCTCACCTGTCTTGTTGGCAAGTCATGGTATTGTAGTATGAGCCTAGTGTTGACGCTGTGACTCCACGTGTTGCCAAGGGCTGCTGTCACACAACCAGAATCCTTCTTCCCACTCACAGAAGATCCTGAAGATAAACATGATAGAAACTGCATCAGGACTGTGGCACAGAAAAGGGTTCAGCATTGAAACTTTGTCAGACATCTTAGATTATTTCCTAAGCCAGGTAATTACAAATAGCACTGAAGAGATGGCACTGCATTAATTTCCTACCTTTCTGATGCTTTTATACAACGGTAGTGTGAGCTCTCTATCTCACCCTCTGATATCAACAATAAGTGCCAAGAATTAAGGAGATGTTGCAAAGTATTACCTACCTTCTTGGAGAGACCAGTATATTTTCTAAATATCTAGGGGTGAACCATGCCCATGGGACACTTGCCTACTCTTTAGCTACTCTATCCCCACACAAATCAGCTTTCTCTGAGCACAGAGGAGAGGGAAGCAGACCAGCAGAGTCACAGTCTATAATGACGTAACAAACAGGGAATCTAAAAGAGCAGAATGTGCTACCACAATACTCTGACCTAAAAATCAGAATACTGATTCATGCCATCAGACATCTGCACTTATTTCTAAGATTTGAAAAGAAGAGAGCCCCTCAGCTGTAATTACCATTCTGCTGTCTCTGAAATCATTTGAACTTTATATAACCCTGAAGGAAAATGGATTTTGCTGGAATCAGCAATGACAACATAAACAAGTGTTTCCAATAATGCCACATGATGCAGCTTGCTTAACTGCCATTGCACTCAGCTTGCTCAGGCTGAAACCAGAGACCCACACATGCACACGTACACATAGACAGGCAGGCAGGTGCCTGAGACCTTCATCTTTACCCATCATAAGTTCTCTGCAAGGTGAACAGATTGATGGGTGCCTTGTTTGCACTTCAAATGACACTTCAAGAACAGAGTGAGACAGACAAACCCCTGAAATTCAGAAATAAAATCCTAGTTGTTATGTGGGTATAAATGATCACGTGCAATTTCAAAATTGAACTGTTTGAGGTAGACAGTCCATACTGTTAAAAAGCCATGAGTGAATGAGACACAGTTAGATTTGAAGTCAGGTAACTTCCTGTCATCTATCAGGCAACAAACAAGATTGCTTTCCCAGGACAGTTATGAAATCCTTGTCAACTAAGTCACTGAAAGTTAGAGCAGACACTGTAATAAAGCTGTCTTATGTTTCCATCGAAATGATCTGTAATGCAACAGTTAATGTTGAAATCTAAATTATAAGTACTAGCAAAACTGTACTGAGATGACAGTCATCTTGTAGCCCAGCAGAGCTTCTGAAAGGTTCAGGTTCAAAACACTTCATTACTTTTACATCTGCAAGGAAGTGGGCTTTGTTACTTCCCCCCTACCTGCCCTTCTAACTATTCACAACAAGAGCATAGTTTCTTGATTCACTAAAGCTTTTATTTTAGAAAAATACCATTAAAGAATAAGACCAAAAGTGTTGGCATGTAATGATAATCATTATTTATATTGCTGCTGGTAGTTGCAAGAAATGAGAAGGACACCTCTGCATTAGGTAGAAGACAGCAGCAGGTGGGAGAGAAATGCCTGGAATGATTGCAGTGCTCTACAGGATGCAGCCAAAGACCTCAAAACTTCCCCAAGTAATAAAAGGTTCAATTAACATCAACTGGATTTGGATTAGGTCTTTAGAAGTTTAAGGTCTACAAAAGAAAGGAGTGAGGCACCAGGTTCAAGCCAATAGTTTGATAAGAGTCTGGACTCTGTACTTGTCTGAATTACTTCCCACATCACAGGAGCTCACTGGGACATGCACAATAGCATGTTCTCCAGAACACCCCTTTAGTCTGAACAGTTGTGCCAGCGAGGATGGCTGCTTTCTTGTACTTAAAAAAAATAAGTAGCAAACTTCCACCTGAATAACTCACCAAAGCATCTAACTGGAACCTTCAGTATTAGGAATGCTATTCTGTTAATTAGTCTAGACCATCTTTGTTGGGAAGGTAGATGTGCTAACAAGAATAATTTATCTTCATCTATGTTTTGGATTTAATTTTCCAGCTGAAGGAGTGAACACTCTCAAGTGTTAAAACAGGGTGCTGGGAGGTCTGTGTTCCATTCCCTTAAAATGACTCAAAGCAAGTTACTTAATTAAGTTCATTAAGTTCTATAAATTTCTGGGTTTGTGCTAACACCACAGAAGTAAAATGCTATTACTGTACAAACAGGATAATGGAGTATAAGACACTGAAGCAGCTTTAAAGTTTCGCAAACCTTTCATGTGGAATAAGCTGCAGTCAACACAGTCCTTCTCTCCTTACCCTGTTAGAAATGAGTAAGAATCACAAAATTTGAGTGAGGCCACTAAATACAAGTTCTGGTGGGTGTACACAACTGACATAACTGTACCCCAGTTTAAAGCTGGGAGCCACCATTCCACACCACCAAGAAGCAATTCAGCACCCCTGCTTGTGGGCCCCTCACTACAAAGGGCCCAGATATTCCAGAAGTAGCTAGTGCTGGCATAAAACAGCCAGAAAATTCACATCCAAACTTTCCTCAAATCATGTATCTGCTATTAGGTAACAGAAGGAGTAACATCTTGCTGTTGCAATCCTGAACCAGGCATTAAATGGTTAAATGCTTGGAACCTGCTGCTATTACACTGTGGCGATATCACTCCATAGCAATTCCTAATTCTGCATTCCTAATGGATTCATAAATTCCTAAATTTAGGCCAAAAACCCATCCCAAAGTGAACAGAAATGCTATATTTGTATGGTTTGTGGCAGAACAAGCTAATTGCTGTAATTTATTTTATTTTATTATACAGGAGGAAAGCACACTGTACCATACTGTGTCAGCCCCTATCTGAAGAGGGCAAATCCTCTTCTAATTAAAATTTATTAAAATTAATGACTTATCATTTAAAGTTATTAAAATTTATGACTTTGGTGCAAAGTAGCTGGCAAACCTGGAGCAAATTTACAGCAAAGACTTTTTGCAAGACGGAAGGGAATGTCTCACTGGAAAGATTTCCATTTTATAAGGGATCCTCCTGCGAACTGATGCATTAGGCAGATAGAGAGGTAAAACAAGAAGTGAAGCAAACAGGAGGAAGCAGTGCCAGCTTTGCAAAGAAGTTCAAGGGCAGTGACAACATATGCTGCGTTCCTTCTTCTTGCTCTAAACACAAAAAGATAGTAAATGTCTCAGAGGAAGGAAAGAGGATATGTTAAGAAAACAGATTTATGTTGAAACATGGCCTTAAAAAAACCTTGGACTTAATCTGTTCTGTTATTTCAACCACTACTTAGACATTAATGAACTGGACAAAGGAAGTAGATAAATAACACTGTTCAGAGAGAGTGAATTTTTTTTCCAGCATGAATTGCCTTGTGCTTCCAAACCCTGACATTTTCTTACTTAGAGATGGGAGTATTACGCCAACATTGGCCCACGAAGAAAACAAGTTTATAAGACTTCAGTCTCTGCTCAGAGGTCCCCAAACTCTCCAGCCTGAGCCACTGCAGAGTGGTATGGAGTGCTTACCCATGCTGTGGGCTGGATGCTTCCACAGCACCTGCAGTCAGCTGATGGGCAGCACTTCCAGTCTCTCCAGTGAGCTTAAAGCCAGCTCTTACTCCAGTCACTGCTGGCATCATGGTTTCTGCTCATGACCCAGGTGATACAGGGAGTGCAGGGATTAGGGAAAGTAAGAAAACAGAGCTGACATACAGATGAGAGAAAGGTGACACCGTATGTATGCAGTAAGGGAGTGGGTGCCCAGCATGGCGAGGTGAAGGTCAATGTCAGAAGGCTGGGAGAAGATATCTGAACAACTCCCAGCTTTCTGTATCAGGTCCACCTCTAGTAAAATGGGTGATTTCAATTCCTGTAAACACTCTCTCCTTTCTCACACCAAAAAAATAACATGAAACTAATCTTCAAAGCAGACAGGCCAAGGACTGTATGAGGTGCCTGTTCCACTGTCTCCTGTGAAGCTGAACTTTCCAGTGCACTGGCAGAGACAGAAGACACCATATCTGTTCTGGACTGCAAACACAGAGGAGGAACTGGCTGCTTCACTTTCACTGAACAGCTGTCACAAGTGAAAATAAAGCTGCTTGTGGTCTGAGTCAAATGCAAAGTAAATGCCTCTCCACAACCAGGGGAAAAACAAAGATGAAAGGGTGACTTCAGCAGAGGCCTGCAGTACTGCTTCCAAGCAGAAGAGGTTTGCACTGGGGCTCCCATGCCCAGGAAGGAGCTGTCAGTAGATCTTGCCCACAACACTTGGCCCTACTTACACATGAGAACAAGATTAATTTAGTTTCTCCCTATCAATGCAATTAAAACAAACTTTCTATAAGTAACTTTCCTGTCACAGAGAGGAATGACACATATAGGCGGGACAGGGAAAGTGATTTTTTTTCACCTTCCCTTTTTCATTGGAAGGAACAGCAGGATTTAAGCTATTCAGCTCAATACTGCTCCTGGAATTACTCTAGTATGTCCAACCAGAGCATTGCAAGTACAGACCTGGTCTCAAAGACCTTGTCCTCTGCATATAGGGTGGTACATTTTACACACTAAATCCTCATGTAAACAAGTCCCAATTGTTTCAAGTATGTTGGAAGGCGATTTAATCATAAAGTCACTTCAGTTCCATTAATTTCTTATTCTAGGAAAATCTGGACAACTAGCCCAGTATCTTCAACCAAATGAAACAAACAAAACAGTTTTTTTAAATGCAAGAAGTCCTTGCCGGCAGAATGTGATTATAGTCTTGATTAAAAAAACCCAGTATGTTCCTTGTACCACCTTGTCCATGTTCTCACATATTGACTTTTTTCTTCCCAGATGGATGTATCATTGCCTTTGGGCAGGTCCATCCCCAACTCTGTGCCCTTTGCAATTTCTATCAGTTGGTAATTTGAAAATATTTTCTCATCAAATGTTAAAAATGGATTGATGAACAAAATGACAGTGAAATAACAAAATAGTAAAGCAACAAGTTCCCAGATCTTTCAAATCTTAACATCCAACCATCTTGATAAAAGCCTGTCCTATCAAAAAG